TTCTCTTGATGAAAACTGTTCATCTTCTTGACTGAAAGATTTACTCAAGGGCCTTTGTTGAGAGATGGGATTTTTGGGATTTATTCTTTATTAACCTGTAATTAAAGATAAAAGCAATTATTAGTGGTATATTTATTCATATAAAATAGATAATGATAGTATAAAATTGTAATAAAATGTGATTATTAGGAGCCACACCACACAATTCTTTGATTAATTGAAGAATATTACAATGCTCACAATAGACCTCTCTCTCTCTAAGAAATTGGATCTCAAAGAGCTGTTAAAAACCTCTATTTTTGTCAACAATAAACCCTAGAAACATATAAGAGTTTATATAGGATCCCTGATCAAACAGAATTCCAAAACAGATTTGGAAACTGGAAAATCCCATCGCGGTCGACCAGACTTTAGTTTTGGTCAACCGGACAAAGCGCCAAATAATTATAGGGTCTGGTGCATTTTTTCGGTCGACCAGCCATCACCTTCGATCGACCGATGACCACTCTTAGTCGACCGACACCAAACTTCGGTCGACTAGCCAGAGTGCAGTTTTCTCCTTAGTTTTCTACAGGGTTCGCGATCGACCGGACCTCCTCAGTCGGTCGACCGGCCAACGTCTGAACTGTTTTCTTCTTCTTTTTGAACCAGCTTTGGGTCTACACCACTCAGACTAACAACAAATTCTATGCCTCATTTGGCCAAAAAGGAGAAGCTTCCTCTCCTGCCTCTTTGTGCCAAATGTACCACGTCAACCGAAATCATTCTACTCCGGGAAAAAGGACTCCTATATAGAATTATTATCTTTTTGGTGATGAGAAACCTTAGCTGGCACACTCCACTCCACTCCACTTCTTACGAGAAGACCCGAGGTCGAGGACTTGGCTAGCCAAGGAAAACCTCAGGTCGCTGAGTCCCCCCACCTCATCCCAGATCCAATTAAGTAGAACCCTTCAAGGGACTCGGGTGACACAACACTACCGGCTGGGTGGGGAGGGGGTGGCGGAAGGGGCGGTGGGCGGGGAGCGTGCTCTCGAACTCGGACCCCCCAGCATGGATGTTTCCCCGGCACCCCGCCCACATGCCGGAGGGGGTTGGGGTTATCAAGATCAAAGTTCTCAATAAAAACTTTTGCATTTGTTTCGATTAGACGTTGGCTTATGACCAATCCTCTCTCCTATAGGGGATTGTTGGGAGAGAGAAAAATAGATTTCACATTCAACTTGCCATCCAAATGAACTACTATATATAAATTCATACATGAAGAAAGAACAACGGGACGTATGTTTCACTAAACGTTACAAAATTGTACAAAAAATTAAAGTATTAATGCAAATAAATATTGAATCGGTATAAACAATACAGTAACCAATACGACCGCCAAATTTAAAATTAATTTCCAAACACGTTTGTATTAGCCTTCCTCACTACACGTAGTTTCGAAGCAACCTCTACATGATTTCTCCGCAACACCGCCAGTCAACAACACAACCAAACCGATGCTCGCTTTTGCTTACTTTATGCAGAGTCTGTATTTGATATTGATTGGTTTTAATTGAAGCAAAAGGCAGAAGTCAAACAGAAGGAAACAAGATTGTTCTCTAACAGGACTGCATTTATTTCGTTCAAACGTTTATCATTTGGGACATTAATGTTCATAAATATCATTTGGGACATTAATGTTCATAACAGGACTGCCATTGGATTTCGTTCAAACGTTTATCATTTAGCAGGAAAAGTATCAAGGGGAGAGTGTAGAGTTTTCATGTTTGAGGTGTTTACCTAAATGGGTGTAGCAAAGTACAAATATCTAGGAGGCTGCCCTCCAAGTACCCAAGTTTTGGTATGGGTATTTTTTCAGGATCTCCTCTCATCTCAATCCACATTCTTCAGCATTGTCAGATGGAATGTCGGTAATGGTTCCTTGAGCAGTTTTTGGCATGACAAATGGGCAGCAGCTAACACCCTTAGCAGTCTCTTTCCTCATGCTTACAAGCTAGCCTTCTCGAGCAATTGTAGCATCGGTTCACAAGTTAGATGGGCAAATGGATCATGGGTCTGGCATCCTATCATCAGAAGGGGATCTTCCCCAAGAGAGAGGGCTGATGTTAACCTTCTCCAATCCTTCCTAGAACACCTATCTCCAGGCGGCCCATCTGAACAAGATGCCTTATGGTGGCCTCTTCACTCATCGGGCTCTTTCACTGTAAAATCCTTTTACTCTTTTACTACTTCAGGGGGTTTTAAATCTCAGTTCTTCAACTTGATATGGAAATCCAACATTCCCCTTAAGGTAAAAATCCACCTCTGGATTATTTCTAAAGGGAAACTGAACACCAAAGATTCCAACATTCCCCTTAAGGTAAAAATCCACCTCTGGATTATTTCTAAAGGGAAACTGAACACCAAAGATAATTTGATCAAAAAAGGTTGGAACGGCGATCCAAGATGTCCCTTATGTCATCGGGAGACGGAGTCCCATGACCATTTATTTATTCACTGCTCTTTTGCTCGTGAAGTCTGGAAACACCTTCTCCCCCATTTCCCAGCTAATCGTTGGCCTACTAACATGGAAGAATTGCTGCTGCTCTATCAAACACCCAACATTTGCCTGGATACTAAAACCTTTTGGAAGATCTTGTTGCCATGTTTCTGTTGGTGGATATGGTTTACAAGGAACTCTTTAATTTTCAGAGATTCTCTTCCTAACTCGCTATTAGTTGCATCTAATATCGCGAGATTTTCTATTTTCTGGACAGGTGAAGAAGACGACAGGACGGCGAGGAGGTTGCGTAGGGCAGCACTCAATCTCGGCCTGCAGAACCTAGCGAAGAAGTCTTCCTCCGGGGATGCAGGGGACAATCTTCATAGCAGTTAGCTATTGCGTCATGTGTGGCATCAAGAAGTATGTTGTTTCTTTTGGGTGTTTTGTTCTCTTTTGTTTAGTGGCTAGCTGCGCCTAGCATATTCAGTCTCTTATCAGTGTTGTAGCTGAATTCTAAGTCCTTTTTTGAAACGCTGTCTTTTGCTGGTTTTCTTTTGCTTTCTTTAGATGATGGAAACGGTAGGTGTTGTGTGGTAGGTGACGACAATGGTCCGCTCCCTACCCACTTCTCTCACCGTTTATCCTTCATCTAGAGAAGTAGTATGTACATTCTCCCAACTTTTCTATATAATTTTAAATGAACAGGGTATCTCATCCTGTTTCTCAGGTTCAAAAAAAAAGTACCTAAGTTTCATGTAGGTTTTTTTTTTTTTTTTTTTTTTTTTTTGGAGTGGTTTTTTTTTTTTTTTTTTTTTTTTTTGTGGACAAAATACACGCGTGATTCAGAAATCTTATTTAGCATACATTAGAAATCGGTGTCTACCTATGGGCCACACGCAGTATTTAACATTGTGAAAGCCTCTTCCAATAAAGTAAAAGGAGAACTTAAGAGGCCTTTGGGAGAATGCTCGATGAGGAAGCCGCCGAGTAACGTGCAACTTTTATTCTACTCGCTCAAGGGAATCGTGATTTGCTGAAGGTTATTCTCTAGCTATCAATCTAACAACTGTGGCAATTTAAGATATATTATATTACTCACAAGTCGTTTGTTTACTTTAACTAACTCGAAAGAGCCAAAACAATCCTCAAGCTCTTCTGTTTTCAAAGCATTAAAAGAGTTTAATAAATTTCCGATATAAAACATGTATGGCATACAAGATGATTCAGGATTGTCTCTGGAGTAAAGAGACTCAAATGATAATTCGTACTGCATAAGAGAGAAACAACCACAACGTCATCAAAGCCTTTATTCTAACTGTTTGGAGTCAACTACATAAATCATATTCTTCCATTCCATTCTATTATGAGACATCTCCCCAATTAAGTTAATCATAATCATATCCTTTTTTATTTTTTTATAACCATGTTCTTTTAGGTCTACCCTTAATCAACTAGCCCCATTAACTATAATACTATCAATTTTCCTAATCAGTGCACTACGAGATCACCGTTGTATATAACCAAACCATTTTAGTCGATTCTCTCTTATTTTATCCTTAATATGAGCAATCTCTAATTTACTACAAATGCGGCATGAGAGAGAAACATAAGTATAAATTTAGGGACCATTTGATTGAGAAGAAATAGAGAGCAAATACCATAGTCAAATTTTAGGATCACAATAACTGCAAACAAACATCAGTCTCATGAGTAAGTCAATGGTCCTAAAACAAACTTTAAGTGCAGAGACACCTTGTTCAGCAAAAGCAAACAACAGCCATCTTTAGATGTACCTCAAATATCCCAAAGCAAATTCCTAAAGTACTCAAATTATTTCGGATAGAATTAAAACAACTTTTAGTTCGTCTGTATAAACAAATAACTCCTACAGTCCACGAGCTTACTCGAACCGGGTCCAGCCGAATCTATTGACCTCTCAATTGCAAGTAGAACGAGAAAGTACAAGCTTGCTTGGCTAACTAAGTACAACAAGCCCATAAGATGCACTCAGGATCAAGTCAAGAGAAGTAACAAGGACAAACTAAAGAATCAAAGGGACCACCATCAATATTATGCACGTAAAGGACCGCAGCCTACATTCCCATCAATTGCAGCCTACAGAAAACAACTGGACTTCGACAAATTAATTTCCCTACTCAACTACGTGGACTCGATTCCACTGACATTGGAGAGAAATGAAGCCACCTGCAGATAACAACTGATTCTTTCCACGGTCCACAGATTCTGCCATCAGAAAGTGTAGTTGGTTATATAGGAAGAATACGAGGAAGGAAACGAAAAAGGTGGGATCATTCTTCTCTTTCATCAGAAGAGAGGTATACGCCGCTATAATACCTTGACCTAACTTACACTCCTTTCAGTAACACTGCAATCAAGCATATAGAGAGACATGAAGCGAACGACGATCAGAAGGTCAAAACTGAGGGAAGTGGCATGGAGGCCAAACCGCATTGACCTTGAACTATAAGTTTTGAGAGAGCGGTTCAACCACAAGGGACAGAATCGATCAGTAAATAATAACTCAAAGTAATTAAGACATGCCATCTGGAGTGAGGCAGTGCCACAAAATAGAGATAAAATAAGTATATGCAGCCTAAATGAATAAGGCTTTATGTTCTCTTAAAGGAAATGAAGAATTTTCTTTCGTCTAAAGTTCGGAATTATTACTGATTCTCATTAGCTTCGGCTGGGGTGCTTGTCTTATTAGCTTCTGCTGGAGTGCTAGTAACCATTTGGTCAACAGCATGGACGGTGCTTTGCAGCTCCTCCCATATAGCTTTATACACCATCCTCTGCCTGTTTACGGCAGATTGTCCTTCAAATGCAGTTGAAACAACATAAATGCTGCAGAAAACAGGAATATCAATGTAAGCATACTATTTTTGCCACAATAGAGAGATAATCCAAGCTAGACTACAATTGGTGTATTTGTGAACAAACAAATAGCTGAATTTTATAAGTTAATTGGATCTGAAGATACCCCAATGGTGCCAAACTTGTCTAGAACAAGAAAAATAAATCTCACATCCACTGCCTAATCCACTACCTAAACAGAATGAAACAAGCCCAGACATCCCAAAGACTGCTCAACAGGTGATCCCGGGGTCTTCGGCTACCAAAATGTTTTCCCTTGATGTGTTGAAGAATTCAAATACTCTTGAATTATCGCTGTCACCAGTTCAAGTATGTTGAGATAAGTTGTATTTTTCAAATATTGTTTTCTTTTAAGGTAACAAAATTTTGGATACTTTGTTAGATCCTACACAACATGTACCCTATCTTGCAAATGAATACGTCAGAAGATTATATCTCCATATCTCTACCGTTTAGATGATATTAGAGCCATATTCTCGATCCTAGAAAACAACTCCCCACTTTCTATATCTCAGGATCACGGAGGGAGTTTTCCGCAAGCACAGCGCTTCACCTCAACAGTTTTAGCCCCACTTTCAGCTTCGACCTCGATTTCATCAACTACACAATTTCATGATGCTTAGATATTGTCTTCTCCATCAATATCACATAGCCATCTTCTACGGCCCGTCTTCTTCAGCTAGATCTCACCATCTTTGTTGTCTTCTTTGATTGGTTCTCGCCGCATATTTATCACCATTCCAGTTGGTTAGTTTTTTGTCATTATCACTGCCAAATCCTCTCTGTTATTATTCTTGAAGCATCATCACAGAATTGCCAAAAATTATTTCTCACTAAAAAAATTCAATCTAAAATCTCATCATCTCAATCTGATCTCTAAATTCAGATTATTTTTTTACGAAAAATCTTGAGGAAAATTGTATTTCTACATGAAAAGCTTGAAGAGGAAGTGTACATGACACTTCCCCCCGGTCATGCAAAGCAATGGGAGATGAAAGTATGTCATCTAAACAAGTCACTTTTATGGACTGGGACAGGCATCACAAAACTAATTTTCCAAGTTCTCCATGGCTCTTTTTGAGATTGCCTTTATTCAATCCAAAGCTAACTACTACATATTTACTTCTCAGAGAGACAATCTACTCATTGTTGTTCTTGTTTATGTGTATGATATCATAATTACGAGTAATGATCAAATCTACATTGCATTTCTCAAGCGGTTTTCAGATTCCAAATTCCAAATAAAAGACATTGGGAACACTCAAATACTTTCTTGGTTTGGAAGTGGCGCGTTCTAAGGACGGATTTTTTCCTCTCAAAGAAAATATACTGTAAACATTCTCACTACCATTGGTTTTTTAAGGGGTGTTTGTTAATGATTTTCCTATGAAGCAAAATCTCAAACTCAATTCAGATGATGGACCTTTTCTTTTAGATCCCTCTAAATTTAATCGTTATTGGGTAATCAGCAGACCTAATATTGTTTGTGCAATCAACTTTCTTAGTCAATTCATGAGCACACAACATGAACCTCACTGGTGAGCTGCAATTTGAGTTCTTCATTACATCAAATCATCTTCAAGAAGTGGCATCCTACCTTGCTACCAACTGTCCTCTCATTTTTCATGTTTCATGCGTAGTCTAACTATTGTTAGGCCTCTTGCCCCATTTCATGATGTTCCCCCAGGTAATTGTACCTTGGTACAACTCCATGGAAATCGAAGAAGCAAAAAACTGTATCATGCTCCGCCGAAGTTGAGTACAGAGCACTGGCATCCACTACATATTAAGTCCAAAGAAAATCTTTTGGCTCAGTTATTTGCTTCGTGATCTTTGTGTTCCATACAACACTGCAACCTTATATTGTCATAATCAAGTTGCACTTCACATTGCCTCCAATCTGATGTTTCATGAGGGCACAAAGCACATCAAGACTGATTACCATCTTGTGTTGTGAGATAAAATTCAGGATGGGTTTATCCGACTATCTCATGTGCCAAACCATATTCAACTTGCTGATGTACTGATGTGTTTACAAAGCCACTTGGTTGCAATCAGTTCCTCTACTTGACAAGCAGCTTGTTCATGATATTCACTCTCAACTTGAGGGGGATTGTTAAAATTTCAAATGCTTTTGAATTATTGTTGTAACTGATTCATGTATGTTGAGACAAGTTAGTTGTAAATTTGAAATATTATATTTTCTCTTGTCGTAACAAATTGCTACCATTTAGGATACTTTGTTACATTCTATACTATATGTACTCAATCTTGGAAATGAATACATCATCAAATTCTCTCTGCATATCCCTATCATTGACACAGGATGCATTCCTGAGACGGAAATGTGCAACACCACGCGTATCTGAAAGCGCGGAGTTTCCTACAGTGAGAATTCCATCGGACTCTGAAGCCAGCGGATTCGTTCCCGAGCCACGAATCCATGTCCAACCAAACGGACACAGGATTCGTCCGCAATCGTGCAAATGGACAGAGTCCAACACGGGTGCAGACGATCAAGTATTAGAGTCGGACACGGTCCACAAGAGGCTTCTGACACGGGCTGCGGATTCGCGAAGGACCGATTATTCGGGTTACGGCTTGGGGTTTTGGTTGTTAAAATCCAACCCGAGCCGTTCGATTAAAAAACTCATCCCTATTTCTCAAACCTCCTGTTCAATTTGATCCTCAGCTGACTCAAACAAAAGAAAAAAAGAAAAAACCCATGGAGGCCGTATTGTTTGCTGATGATGAAGGCAATGAAGAAACCATCGGACTAGCTTCCACTTCATCTTGAGTTACTTTTTGTTTACAAACTTGTTATTTTGTGATAGAATCATATTTTAGATTGTTAGTTGAATTTTATAAATTTTTCTATATATAATAATAATTTTTATATAACAATAATTTTTAAAAAAATTCCTTGTCGTATCCCCGTATCTTATTTTTTGGATTTTATCGTATCCCGTATTCGTGTCTGTGTTGTATCCGTATCCCGTATCCGTATTCGTGCATCATAAGAAGCCATAGATGGAGCATGATTGAATATCCATAAAGTTATTTAAAAGATTGCCAAAGTTTTTTATATGGTTCCATATTTTTATAAATTTTACATATACACATTAACCTTTTTTTAAAAAGATTATGAATGTCTGTCTACATTATGTATTCACAAACATATAGAAAATTACACGAAGTCATAATTACATTATAGATCTGTCATGAGTGGTTATTCTTTTTCTAGAGTAGGGCTAGTGATGACTCGATTTAACATAAGCGATGAACTTATATCATAAGTGACAACTTAATTTTAGTTTGAGTAATGAACTTACATCACAAGTATAAACAGAAGCAACAGTTCCTAAGTGTCGAAGATTTTTAATTTCTGACTTTCATCTGTTAAAAGAAAGTAGGTCATGTCAATTTCTTTATCTTAAACCAAGGACTCTTATCACCATTCTTATTTAAATAACGAGGAAAGGAATTTAATCTGATAGTCTTCACATCCTCTACTAATTTTTGACAATATATGCATTGACCAGATGAGAGCATAAAACTGAGTACTACAACAGTGTACAAAGTAGCTCTAGTACATTTTTAATTTAGGATTATCTATACATCACCAACACAAAGATTAGATTCTTGGAATTTTGATATGTTGTTAGAATGTTTTTATCAAGTGCAAGCTAATAGCAGATTTTGGAATATCTTTCACTATCAGTGTTCAGAGTTATTCCTGTAGAAGTTTTCAGTTTTGAGGTTATCCATACATCACCAACCCAAAGATTAGTGCTCTTGGAATTTTGCTAGGTTGTTAGTATGTCTTTACCAAGTATAGACTCATGGCTTTTTGGATATCTTTCACCCTGCTTCTAGTTTGGTAAAATTAATAATTTCTTATAGACACATTGGAAAGAACAAAACTACATTTTCTTTCGTCCATCCACATCTAGATATACCTCAGATTCCCTTCCCAAAGCCTACGCTATGTAGGTAAAAGAAAAGAGAAGTTTCACATAATAAACTATCGTATAGTAAGCATTTTTTTCTTGAGATTCTAAAGTATGATCTATCCAAGGATAAGTTTTGTGAGCATTTCCATTAGGGCCAAGCATTATTTAGTTTAACCGGAGATCCAAACCGAATAGAGCCATCTTGACTCGATTCGTTTGGTTTTAGCAGTCAATCTGTTCTTTAGATTCCAATTCATAGAACATTTACTATTTAATCTAAATTCCACTTGAGAAACCTCATGATGAACTGATGATCAACTGAGATGACCAGAAAATTTTCTTTCAGTCGATTCAAATAAACATGTGTTAAGGAGTTAGAGTAAAAGAGAAGACGTCTAAACAAACCGAGATGACAAAAAATATTCTTCTAATCAATTCATGTGAGTTGCTTATGATAAGGGTGAAAAAAGAGATGGCAGATTAAGATCTCCTTCTCACCAAACCTACATCAACAATGAATAAGTAAATATTTGTAATGACAAATATGAAGAGGTGATGATGAACATCAAGAAGTGATGACGATATGATGATCAAGGTTTTAAATATCGGTTATCGGGGATTTATCGGACGGCCAAAATTCTTATCGGATAGTGGAAATCGGGGATATATCGGGGATAAGTAGTATTTATCGGAGTGATATACTGGATGATGTGTATATATAATATAACAATTAAAAAATATAATCTAATCATGCTTAATGAAATATAAACATACTAAAATGTAAATCATCATGTTTAGAATCATTAACCAATTGTAAAAAGCGAAACTTGCATCATAGCCTTGAAAAAAATATAATGTTAGTCAAAATTGGCCGATAATCCCGATAATCCCGATAAAAAAGTCTTACTTATCGGCCGATAAGTGCCGATAACGCCGATAAATCGCCGATAAACCTAGAAAAACGATAACTGATTAAAAATCCAATTTATCCTAGCGGAGAGCTCCCAAATCCGATAA